GATTATTAGCAGACAATTTACAATTCGGTGGGACAGGTCCTTAACTTTTTAAATTAAACCATAAATGTTTTGAATTTGCAGTGTTTTAACTCTGTACACTAGATTAGTAAAAACCCACGCTGACTTAAGATTCAAAAGTTTAATTACTCAATGAGTGTAAGATACGACATAATGAGTACCTATGTTTGCATTTGAGTCATATAAAATGAGTCATAAGTAATTACACACTAGGAATGAATGAAACAGGAAGTGTAAAGATGTATCAAAACCATCATTTCACTTGGAACTTCGTCATAGTAAATCAACGAAAAAATCACTTAAAAAGTAGTTGTACCCGCGGGAGACAATATATGTTACAAGCGATGGTATTCTAACAAAGCATATTACGACCGTTGGTAATTTCTTTAGTTAGAAAAAGTATCAATCTATCAGTACCCACTATCTGAAATACTGGAATAGTATTTAATACTGCTTACTCTATCCGCCATATTGGAATTATTAAAATCAATAGAAGTGCTAATATCGATTTCATTATAAATTCAATTAGATAAAATTTTGCTATAAATATTTTACCTTGATGAACATTACTCGTACTTCTATAGCTATCTCATGAATTATTTAGTACAGAAACTATGCTAAGAAATTGTGTGCGATATCTCATTTTGTTTAAAACTTACCGAATTCGTTGTTCGTTGGCGCAGTCGTGCTCGGCATCAAAATTTGCCTTTCGTTCTGTTCATTATTGGTATCGATAGCGATATCAGTCAAATCGGATACTGCTCCTTCGACAGTATCATCCAACATCTGATACTTTCCATTCCTCACTTGTAAACCTGTATCTGATATAACTTCTACCGGAGCTGTTTCCTTATCTACACTAACTTCAACATTCTCGACCGCTTCTATCTTATTGTCCACATCACTAATTGTTTCTTTTTCTTCAACTAAATCCTGTCCACTAACACTTATAGCTAAAAGAAGAACTAATGTTATTTTGATTTTAACACCCATTGTTCGCACTATCCCGATTTCATCACATTATTTGAGGTCATCAGTTCCTTTTATCTCATTGATTATGGTTTTTAATACGACAGGTGCGTTAGTATTGTGGCCAGCGACTGAGTGGGTACATTGTGTGCCCGTTGATATGATATCATTCTGTAAACACGATAAGATAGTAAATAGGAACGTTAGGTGTGCCAAATTCTTTGTGATCCACGTAGATTTGTTATAAGGGCATGTGTATTGAAACAAAAGTTTCATAATTAAATAAACAACTGACTCTTAGACTGTATTGGGTATTCCGGTATGTTCCTTGGAGATCCCGGAACCTTCGTCATTGTCACTAGAGGATGGCCACCGAGGGGGTTTTAGTAAATCAAATCCTACATAACCCTGCCTTCCCCCTACAAGACAAGGTATCTTTTGAAGAAATCCCCCCCCCCCCGACACCAAAAAAAAATGACGACGAAGTGTTGGGTTTTCACCTTTGATACTAAGTACCAGGATCTCATAGATTAGTAGGATGAAGTAGAACTAGAAACTGTTAATGTTATGCTTCATTTTTTACCTCAGATCAGGCTTATTAGTCATTTACCTTCTTCTTCTTAAGGTGCTTCTCTGATTAACGAAGGTTGGCGGTCAGTTCTCCTAATTTGACTCTATCTCTTGCAAGGCGAATATTTGTAGAAATAATCGACAACTGTCGACATATATCATTGCCAAGGATCCCCTCTTAAAATTAATGTAATTGTTTTAAGTACAAGAAATCATAGGCAAAGGCATTATCTTTGACTATCTGTTGCTCGCGACTTCGCCCGCGTGATATGAAAAAATTATAAATAATATAATCTATATTACTCACTGATAACGTAACTTTCTAATGGTGAAATAATTTTTGAAATCGGTGCAGTAGTTTTTGAGTTATTTCAATACATACAAAAATACAAATCTATCCTCTTTATATTATTAGTATAGATTTAAACGGAATCGAGTTGCAGCAATATTGTTTATCTGATAAATATCCATTTCTTGATACATCGGCTTTATTCATCGAAAACACTTATCAAGTATTTTCAGTATTAGTGATATCTGTTTTTGAATTATATGTTCTATACCAATGTGATTGGGTTTATTTTCTCTTGCTTTACTATAAGTTACGCAAAGTTACTCTAGAAGCGATGACTAAAAATTATGTTATGTTGTTTTTCAGTGAAATAAGGTAGTTCCTGTTAGGAAGTAATTAGTCATATTTCCTATGAAAAGGTTTCTAATTATTTTGAAATACGTAATTTACTTATTTATTTAGTTCTATAAAAGCATTGTTAGTTTGTTAGGACCTTGTATTAATTGAGCTTTGCTAGATATTAGCATGTGGTCAGTTGTTGGCCTCCTTAATATTAGTAAAGCTACCAAATCATATATCTTGAGAATTAATCGGTCAAAGTTTAAATTACACATACGCTTAAGTATTTACTTAGTATTTACAAGTGAACTGTATGAAAATGCGTATCTACATAGAACATTAAATTAAGCGCCTGTAAGTACATTACCGCAATTTTCCTTTAATTCAACATTGCTCCTAAATATCAGGAAAGGCAAACTGAAGTTATTGATTAGGTAACGCCAAAGTTTTTCAGTTCATAAACACTTCGCTAAACTAGTGCATTGTTAACTACTTTCAATACGTACATTGTACTAATATATATAGAGAATAAGAAATAAAGATATATGAAAATTATAAATGCATAAGTTTAGATGGATGGATAGATGTTTGTTACAGTTAGGTTTATATGTAGATGATAGTCGGGAAGAACATATAGGCTACTCACTTTTATTTTTTAATTCCACGCGGACGGAGTCGCGAGCGAAAGTTAGTATGTATATAATTATTTTAACAATACTGTTATACGTAGAAATAGTTTCATACTTACCAATGTAGTATTCAAAAAATCCTAATTTAAATTCACAAAATTAGAAGACATGTTGACCATTTTATATTTATTGAGAGTGTTTTAAAGTTCGAAATAGCACAACTGCGTATTAAACAACGTAATTCAATTAACTTGTTTTGATCATTTCTGTTTACAGTACTTCAGTTATGTATCGACAGTACTTGATAATGGAATGATTTAGTACCAAATACGTAAATCATTTACAATGTTATTAATTGTACTTCGTCCTATCCGATACCATATCTTAAAGGTTATTTTAACGTTACTTAAAGAATAATTAACTAACTATAGGTAATTTGAATTGTTATATCTTACTGCTACACATCATCTTGCCCTTATCCCTTATGGAGGGTCGGCACAGTATGTGCTGCTCTTCCATACATCTCTATCAGCCGTCATATCTGAATTCACACCTTTCTTAAGCATATCTTCTTTCACACAATCCATCCATACTTCTCTTTCTTCCTCTTCCTTTGTAGCCATCCACATTCAATCTCAACACTTTCTGGTTTATGTCCCCATCATTTCGTCGCATAACATGTCCATACCACGCTAACCTTTTGCTTCTCAATTTCTCCACCACTGGCGCTACTTTCAAACTTCCTCTAATGTACACATAGATTCAATAAATAAATATGTTCCTTAGTGTTGATTTAGTGGAAAAAACTAGCACAAAAGGAATGCATTAGTAGTAGATGTTGCCTGCGACATCGTCCGTGCGAATTAAAAAAAAATAGTAAGTTTATACTATGTTCTGACGTCCATCTAAACTAAGCATTTATAATATTAGTAAGAAGTATAAGTCAGTTATTTGACAATACTTCTTGTTTATTTGCTTAAACTAAGTGAAGACAGGTTATATTTTAGTTTATAAATAAATAGTCGCATTAATTTTATGATAATTGTTAACTTTACAAGAGTTAGCGCACATCTTTGACTAAAATATGTCACAACTGTTGTGCGATTGTCGATTGTTTCTGCAATTCAACTGTTTAGTTGCACAACTAAAAATCGAGTCTGCGCAGCTTCATATAAGGTTATAGGAATTAAAGTGGGACTAAACAGTTGTGCGATAGTTTAGTCCAGGTGTATGCATTCTCTAAAGGACATTTTATGGTACGTTTCTTATCATATTTACAGTTGTTTAAGTGCACTTCTGATATAGCAACAAGAGCCACATTGTTTAAAACGAACTGATTTTGCCAATTTTCTTTACAACTGTACACATTTGTGGAATATCAATAACTTACGAGTCCAATGCGTAGTATGTTACACTGATAATGTTTTCTATACACGTAAAACCATCAATGTATGCATTAGTGTGATTTGCAAACGTTTCTTGGAGTGCATCTACCGTGCATGCACATTTAGTTTCATTTAGGTCGTTCGGATACTTATAACGATTTTGATTTTAATATTTCAAAACTCGTTGAAAATGTACATTTGTTTATTAGTGGCTGAACCAGACTTTTGTTATGCCCTTGAAGTATAAAAATTGAGACAGGAATTTATACTGTCATGCGTAGAAAATCTTTAAAGTTTGGTGCAATTGAATTAACCAAGTAACCAATAACATTAACACCAATAAAAGAGGTGTGCCGTTAGTGAAGTGCGTTTTGAACAATCATATAAATATTCGTATTTGTTTATATCAATTGGTAATCTTACTAATGTTATAAATGCGAAAGCTAAGATGGATGGATAGATTTGTTTGAGTTTTTACCTGAATAGCAGTTTAGGATAAAAACAGTACATTCAGCAGAACGTATAGCTATTAAATTTGTCTTAGATATCGTCTGGAGAAAGAAGGACAGACGAAAGTTAGTAGAAGGTAAATAAGTAAGACAAATGTTCAAGTATTAATGATATAATTTTCACAATAATATAGATATAGAAATAGAACCAGAAAGTAAACGTAGTATCATGACAATTAAGAGTAGATTATTTTATAAAGTCAATTTAATTAACATTTTAACAAATTTTATTTGTGTATCCGAACGTAATGTGCAGCGATAAATTTACCACAGTCTGCATACCGAGGTATAAATTGACCATCTGCACTTCTACCCTCCATACGGCGAGACGTGCCTGCATACAATTTATTTCTTTGGAGTATTCTCTTATAAATCATTGAAAATGCCTTGCGGAGGTTGCGGCGATAGTGAGTATAGCTTTCTATTATGTTTATGTTTAATTTTGATAAACAACATACAATAACAGGAGTAAATAACATTTAGAAAAATGTTCTTATTTTCGAAATAAACGGAACTAAAATTCTTAAAAAATATTTAAATTTGTGTTTTACAATTAAAAGCATATGAATATTTCTACTATTTATTATAATTATTTGCTTATTTTAATCTTATCTTAGCATCTCAGAAATGTTATAAATGCGAACGTTTAGATGGATGGATTTTTTTAGAGTTTGTAGCCTAAACGGCTGAACGGATTTCGATAAAATTTGGGATAGTGCGGAAGAACAAAGAACACATAGGTTACCCAATTTCGTTTTTTTTTAATTCCCCGCGGACGGAGTAGCGGGCGAAAGCTTGTTACATATAAATTTATGATTAAACTACAAATTTATTTTTTAGTAAATTAATATATTATTTTGATACGTACTTTTTCATACGTTTCTATTTTTGAAATTTAACATGTACAAATAGATAGATTTACCAGGATTATAACCCAAGGTTAAATGAACTACACAAAAACAATAGCTTCTTACCAGAACTTGATTCCTGATTGTCCTAGTTTTTCATCATCATCTCAAGGTAGGGATCTTATCCTACTCCCGTAGGGTCGGCGCTGGGTTTTCGTCCTCCAAATAACTCTATCGTCCGTCATCTCAGTTATCTCTTAATTTAATTATTAAAAAGTTTATCAAGTTTTTGACTTTTAGAAACTCTGTAAAATTTATAGTTAATACTCGAATTGGTCTGAGAAAAGTATTTATTCTATTACCATTGCTTTGAAGTTAATAGGTGTAATGTTTACGAATTTTATATACTGTTCAAAAATAAGTAATTTAGGTTGCCTTTTATTTTTTTCTCATGCGTTTTACTGTTGCCAGTACAAAACAACCAAAAAGGTTTTCAATGGCGCTGTATGGGTTATCTTTTTGCTCCATTTCTCAACTGCGCAGTAAAATTGTGTCTTGTTTTACCGGCTAACCACTAATTAAGGATTGTGGTTTATTTTTAAACCTGTCTCACCATAACATTAGTTTTTTATTTTTATTAAAATCTCATACCTTTAGTGGTTTATTTTAACTGATGATTATTTAAAATTATCAAGGTTATAGTTTAGTAAATGAATATAAAGAGTTATTAAAATTGGAGTGTCTGATAGAAAAGTTATAGATTTTGCGGAAATATGTAACGTACATATGCTGCTGATAACGAAAATCGCTTTTTTTTGTGTCTGTCTGTCTGCCCGCAAGCCGCATATATACCGGTTAATTGCAAATAAGAGTCGATTTATTTTAGTTTGTTACTTACTTTCGTATTCCAAAAGATTACATTTGTATAACTCATAGAAGCCTATATCATATCTGCGAGTTCTCATTTTCAAAACTTGAACAGAATAAGGTTTCTTGTAGTCTCAACGTGTTTTTTCAATGGAATTTAATAGTACTCTTCATCTTCACTATTTTATATATACTTCTGATGCAATTAATGAATAGTCGTGAGACCTAATTTGTAATTATAAATGCTTGTCTGGAATTTATCGTTGGATAGTTTTTTATAAATTCAGACAGATGGCGTGGCAGGTACGGGAATATAAATTCAAGTTTATGTTGAATATATTGGACTCTGGCCTTGGTATTTATATCCCCTTTTATGGTACAGTTCGATAAAAGTCATTGCTTGTCCTTGATTGTACAGTCGCGTACATTATAAATTACATGCAAAAGTGTTACAATACTAGGAGATTGGATACTCACTTGTACTAATGTAATATTTTAATTTTTTATAACAAGTTTGTTTTTTATAACACTTTTTAAAGATCCTTATTATTATGTTTTCAATCATACATTTACTTTATCTATATGTATACTTCTATACTATTATAATAAAGCGTAAACACACTTTTTTGTTGCCTAAGATGTCAGCATATTTTTGAATAATTCTTTTTCTAATAAAAAGACCTACACTTACGTCACGCTTTAGGCTATATATTTTCACGACATTAAACTTAGGGGGTACATATTTTGGATAAAAACCAAAATGTGGGAAAGAGACCATATGTTGTTGCCAACATCAAGGGAGCAAGATTGCCAACGTTTGTTATGTTGTGTCCTTTTGACATTTGCTATTGATAATTTGATATACGCAAGCATTAAAACAATTTTCATGTTTTCATGCCGGTGAGGTCGCACGTGAACAGCTAGTCTAATATTTCATGAATATAGTTTTGTTTGTTTGTAATCGATTTAACTACTTAAGTGCTAATTGGTAATAATTTTGTTTACATTCATATGTTTAATAACACAGGCTACGGTATGATAGTAGTTAATAATTTTAAAAAATCTCTACCGACAACAATTAATATAAGTTTGAAAGTATCACACGTTTTTAACATGAGTTTATAGTAAATTTATCTCCACATACTGAAGATATATTTATCAGAACGCTAAGAGGCACGAACGGTGTTCAATAAGTACATTACGTGACTTCCGTGTCTATAATTGCTGATTCAACATTGATTGTAAACGCAAAAGTAAATTATAACAACCAATAGTAAAACTAGCAAATAAACACGTGCTGTTTAAATTTCATTTCTAGTATAAAAATATTCAAGTTAGGTACTTACTTAGATATTTTTCTTAATTTATTCCTATAGACAATTTAATCTGTGCAGTTTAAAGTTAGGGTTGAAAATAGCTTAAATTTCAAGTTCTATTTTTCTGACAAATTGTTGAATAACTTTAAGACACGCACTTTCGACTCAGTCCGCGCGGCATAAAAAATCAAAAGCAATTAGCCTATGTGTTCTTCCAGACTATCCTCTACATCTATTCCAAATTTCAACGAGATCCGTTCAGCCGTTTAGGCTACAAACTCTAACGAACATCCATCCAGCTAAACTTTCGCATTTACAATATTAGTATGATTATGATATTTCATTCTCAAGAAACCTAAGGTTTTTCTCGTAAATTTATATATTTTTACTAGTACAAGGTTTAAATTAATTAAGGGATATGATATCTTTTGTTTCGATGCAAACTTGTGTGCACGGTTGTACGTCTTTTGTTTAAAAACAATGCCGTTTCGTGTTTTGGCAACATCCATACAGAAACGAAAACGTTACCGCACGTTGCACGGCTGTCATCTAATTAGCAATAATTCGATTTATTAAGTAGTAGATAAAATATTAGTTTTATTTATATACTGAAATACAAAAGTATCCAATCAAATAAATGTTCAAAACTTCTGTTAACTAACGTAGACAAAATTATTAATTATTAGCTATGTACTAGAAGTGTTTAAAGTTCTAGTTAGAATGAAGCTTTCCAATAGAGAAAGAATTTTTATTAAATTACAGAACCGTTTTTGAATAATCTATTATACGTAATCACATTTCCATCAAAAAAAAGGTAAAATATTGAGGTTTCAAAACCGTACAAAACGTAACACAACTATTGATACGTTCGTAAGTTCGTACGAAAATATTGCTATCTCAGTTATTTCAATGTAAATTAGTGAAATGACAATAGGTTTCTGCAGTTTCAAGTGCATACAACTGCAATTATATATGATATCAAAATAAACATTACGTTTGCTTGCCCATTGTCCTGTCTCGCTTCTAGAATGTTCTTATCTGTTTACAACAATGTTTTACGCCGTAGTCCGTAGTTAACTTTTGTAAACAGACATATCAATAAAATTCTGACATATTTATTACCATTGACAAGGTCTGGATTAATCTTGAGTTGATAACACATTCACTGCCACTTACCCAACTCGTTCATTATCGTAGGAAAAATCATACTGGCATTTAAAGTGTTAAAGCGTCTTTTAAAACGAGAAGGAGAGTAATAGCTTATTTCGTACATGTTAATTAAGTAAGAGAGAATTGTATTTTTGTATGTATTGAAATAACTCAACAACCAATGGGCCGATTCCAAACACACTCTCAACATTAAAAAGCTACATTATCAGTGAGTAACAGGATATGTTTTTTAAAAAAATTAACTTTACTCGGCCGAAATCGTGAACAACAACTAGTCGTAAATAAATCTCAAACCTACCAAAAGTTTATATCTTCTTTTACCCGCCAATGCGTCTATGCGGAATAAAAAAAAAAGCAACCTATTTGTTATAATATTGATCTGTGCGTTTCACCGTAACGTCCATCTTAACTTTTCTTAATGTTACAGACTGCAAATGCACCACTAGCCAGTGCTGCACTACATGCAAGTGCGATGCTTCCTGCTCTTGTAACTGCAAGAGGACCACCAGCGGTGACACTGGCGCTGCAACTACCAAGAAGTAGCTGTCAAGCCTCATTAAATACCCATCATTAAATGTCATTCATCTTACATCGTTCATCATTCAATTTTCCTCGCAGCTTGATATCCGTTCCTCATATTTGGTTCATACCAAATAACTTTATGGAATTTATAAATGTTTTTCGATACATCGTATTTTTATTGTAAAGTACACATATTTGTTATATTCAGAGCATTTCGAATTTAAAATAAACCGAAGTATTGTCTACGATTTTAAAGTACACAATTATGTCAAATGCATTTTTTATTATCATTTGGTTAAACGACTGATTCTGCATTTCGTAATTTATAGAATTTTCATACATATGTTTGCATATGTTCTGTGTTAAGAACAATAAAACCGTAATTTCATTGTGATGTTTATTCTCTTTGTTAACATTTTACACATAAATAAATAATTGTATCCGTTACAGTGTTTGTTTTTAGCATTTCGTTCCGTTATTGTTCAATTCATGCACTAATTTGAAAACAATACAAGTTGTTGCGAAAACTCGTATTGTTTTCAATTAATTGCAAATATACAAGGATTTATAAGAATTGAGAGACGAGAATATTCATTCAAGAATATTACATTTATGCGATTCCCTTCCCCTAATCTTACCCTATCTAGGGCAGGGGTATCGAACCATTGGCACACGACATATTTTGGGAAAGTCGATAATAACAAAACTACGAAAGAATTTTGAAGAGCCAAAACTTTTGGTGAATCATGGAGTTGACGTAATAATCGTAGTCAAAGTTTTTTCAGTCAAATAATACACTTTGATGCATAAATGTTCGCTATTCCTGATCTAAAGGATGTGCTGGCACTGATTGAAACACCCCCTCTAGGTCAGTAAGTTATAGTGAAGGGCGGGATCTCCAAACAAAATGCAATCGTAGCCTCTCATCGCTCAAGACTCGTACATGACCAGTTTTCGTTGTCAAATATCTTTTGGGCTCGAAACCTCGCATATCTCTTGTATGAATCTTATAAGTGTAGCGGGGCGTAAATTGATGCGGGGGAGATTACGTGTATTGCTTCTCGCTGATGACCTTGAGCCGGCAAGATATTTGAACAGAACTATACTTAGTATGTATAGAATTATAATTCAAGAATGTTATAATTTGTTTACGTCTGTTGCATGTGAACAATTAGACAGGTGCATTTATTGCAAACATTTTTACGGAATTAATCATCGTTTTGCGTAACAATAACAAAAGGATGCATTTTGTGAAATATTGTCGACGAATTCTTGAATCTTTTTGTAATTTTGTCGACCAAATGCAACAGTCAACGCCAAAATGACGAAAATCACACAAACCTGCCTATTTGAAAGAGATCAGTATAAAAACTCACGAGCTGTTGCTCGCGACTTCGTCCACGTCGTATAAAATAGTAGTAAAAAAACGGTGAAGGAATTTTTAAAATCGACCCTGTAGTTTTTGAGCTAATTCAATATATACAAAAATACAAATCTCTCCTCTTTATAATATCAGTATAGATATATCTATATCATAAACAACCAGTTACACATGAATGAATATTTGACATTGAATTTAAAAACAAAAAAGTGCATTCATTTAAATTAACCAATGGAACAAGTTACAAGAACAAACATCTTAACGTAACGCCCTTGAAGATTCTTTCTTACGCTAGTTTTAGAAGATATATATCTACAATTGGTGACAATTCGTGTCAGACAATCATCAGCCGCTGTCTTGTGTTTATTTGAGAGAAATTTCTAGAAAATGCCAGCACCTTGTGAACCTTGTAAAGGTAAGACGTTTTGTTCCACTCTATTATAAAGTTTATTATTTGTAATCTGTAGTGTAAAACATTAATATAATTGTAACAACGTTAACTTTGATACTCAGACTAACCCCTGCACGAATGGCGCGCTCTAATACGTCAAAGTGACATTGACAGCAGTTATAGGGATGGGACGTAAGCCAACAGTCTAGTGTTGCGCTAATCCAGCGCAGTGCTGATTTTCTTCTTAACAATAGTGAACTATTTTCATATGATTTAGATTATGAAATTGTTACACAATATTTATGAATACAAAATTTCTAAGGTTTTTTTCAGTGTATTATTACTATTTCATTACCAATTTAATAATTTTAGATACGTGCAATGATGAAGCTTGCAACGACGACTGCAATTGTGAAACGAATTGTGATGATTGTTCTACAAAAGGTAATATTCAAAATTTAATAATATTCGCTTGCGTGAAATTAAAAAAAATAAAAAAGATACCCTATGTTACTCAGTGATATAGCTTTTTAATGGTGCAAGAATTTTTGAAATCGTTCCTGTAGTTTTTGAGTTATTTCAATGCATACAAAAATCCAAAAATACAAATCTTTCCTCTTTATAATATTAGTATAGATATAGACATAGTCTGTGATCAAACTTAAAGGTGGAGATACATCATTAATTATGACTTTCCCTCATCAGATTTCCTGATAAAGTTCACATGTTTAAATGTTGTAACCGGATTTAACCCTAGTCTATCACTAATGTTATAAATGTGAAGGTTTAGATGGACATTGTTTGTAAGACTAATCTAAACAAAAATTGTGTTTCAGGAAAATGCTGTTAAAATTGTACCTATGCTGAGATGCTTGGACTATGCTGTATAACTATATAAATATGAATTAATAAATTATTTTGTTTCTGAACAATAAATAAGTGCTTAAATGTATATATTTTTTACTTATGGTATTGAAAGTCTATTTTTTCGATAACAAAAATCAACATAAACCAACTAAACACAAATATTTTTATCATCACTACCTAACTATAGTATGTCCCCACTGAGGGGCTCAGCGCGAACCCTAAGTTAGGATGACAAGGCCATAGTCAACGCTGGCCCAGTGGGTTGGTTGATTTTACACATATCTTTGAATTTCTTCGTTGATATGTGCAGGCATCACAATATTTTCCTTCACCGTAAGAACCTTGTGTTAATTATGTACGTATGAAATTTTAAAATTGATGCAAGTCGAGTACTGAAACCCCTGAGCCAACGAAGCTCATCATCATTTTTATTAGTTATGTTATATTATAATATTAACATTCCTTTAACTGTGGGCTTTCACTGTGTAAAATCTGTGTATCACTTATATGAAAGCATCCTTGTCCTTCTCTATGATAAAACTGAGATAACAATAGTCTTAACAAATACTCTGAAGAATTTTTCTGAAGAATCCTAACAGCTAAGTAATTAATTGGTTAAAGAAATAAGCTAACTGTACACACCGCAATTAAGAATTAGAATTGCGAAATATAAAGTTCGTCTGTGCAATTAAAACTGAGCGCCTATAGCCCTAGTGACATTTCGTTTACTCGTAGATCGTCAGTTAGTTCTACATTTTGCCGAAACATGTCAATTTTAACTTTGTTATTCGGCTGTAGAGTTAACTATGCAGTAAAAACGGATTGTGTGTGGTAGGCAAGTTACTCAGTGGGGCGTCGCGGTGGCAAGCGCAAGCGATCCCGTGGCGTCCCACACAATGGCCAGGAGGGAACGAAGGGGTTTAGTGAGGTATGCCCCCCACTATGGGGGGAGAGTCCCACATAACTCACGCGTCTGCCCCGAGGCACGGGGTATGCGTAACGCATTCCCCTTCGAAGAAACAAAATGGTAGGCAAGTTACTGTCATGCAAGTGTATTTCCGGCCATAATGACAGTAAGTAACAATGTCACATTACATCAGTAAGGTCTTAGAGCAAGCGCACACCTTTGACTAAACTATTGCATAACAGTTGTGTGATTGTCGATTGTTTCGCAGCCAATTCAACTGTTTAGTTGCACAAATAAAAATGGAGCAGTGTGTGCACCTCCATATAAGTTTATAGGAATCAAAGCGAGACTAAACAGTTGTTCGATAATTTAGTTATAGATGTGCAAATTGTGTAAAATTAAATGTTTTTTTTAATGATAGATCGATTTAAAGATCGAAAACCTTTCAGTGTGTCATTGGGATATTGATATTTAGGTAATAAGCGATAGTAAAATACAATAGTTTAAATCAACATAACATTTATATGAAGCAATAAAACAGAACAATAGTTATGAGGAAGACGACTGTGAAGGAGATAGGGAAGCAGGTCTCGAGCACGGCGCTGACGCGGGAGAACAGCGAGGGTCGGCGGCGAGCGCGGACCACGTCCATTGTTATTAACAGCAACCACCTGTAATACACAATATCTTACTAATCTCACTAATATTATAAATGCGAAAGTTTAGATGGATGGATGGATGTTTGTTAGAGTTTGTAGCCTAAACGGTTGAACGGATCACGATGAAATTTGGCATAGACTCAACGCATGGTCTGGAAGAACACATAGGCTACTTACACACTTAGTTTTTTTTTAATTCCACGCGGATGGAGTTGCGGGCGAAAGTTAGTTTATCATTAAAGCGAAAAATACTCATTCAAGAACCTTATTTTCAAGAAATCTTATGGTCGAATTTAGACCATGAAAATAAGAGCGACCGAAGACCATGAAAATAAAATACGAGTACATAACAAGGGTGTCAAAATCAGCTTGAATTATTTAAAGAAAAGATGTTTCGAAATCTGATTAAAAACGATACTGCCAGAGAAAATTGTAAGCTATCTTGCCTTATCCATACCGGTTCTAGCATTACTAGCGCCCCCTATTATTTGGGAGCACTTTGAGGCGGCGTTTCAATTCACAACCTGGAACATAACATCGGCCCTAGTTATGCTTACCTTTAGAAGTGCAGTCGTCGCAGCCTTTGTCCTTGCAAGTGCAGTTATCCTCGCAGCTACCGTCGGTACACGTGTCTATTGACAAACATTTTTGATATCTTAATATGTAAAAATGGATCTTTATAACATTTTTCATTGCACCATATCAGAACTAACGGAGAATTTAAGCTAATCTAAGTTGTGTTTAAAAATTTAAAAAACCATATCATTTTAATAACATAGTCTAGACCGGCCAGTCATATACTAAACACAAGTAAAATTTCGCATAAGGAAATCTGGTAGATTCATTATTCAGACAAATTATACACTAAATTTTTTATTATATTTACCTTTGCAGGGTTCGCAAGGAGAAGGCATGTTTACTGTCAGTTGTGTGCAACAATTGAACTATGCCATCACAATTCGTACGCCATCATTTATACCACAAACGACTTGTAAAAAGTCAACAGAAAAATCTAGAACACGGCTGTTAAAAAACGTCCCGTTTATACTGCGTACAATAGAAGTGTAACTAAAAGATTAGGAAAAAACTGGAATTTACGAAATTGATGATACAAAAGCTTTTTTTACTAACAAAATATGAGATTTTCTTGAAATAAAGATTTATTATTATTATTATTATTATTATTATTAAAAGAATGTAAAAAATATTTATTAACTACAATTCGTTATATTTATGCATCGTGTGTGATTATATATTGTGAGGTTTTATTGTCGGCCGATAATCTAGTCAGGTTTAGGATAAAAATGTAAGAAAGTGCACATTATACCTATTTTGACTTAACAACCCGACCCAATCAAACTATCGCCCAATAAAGTATGTGGGAGCACTATCATAAACGGTTTTAGCCGATTTTCAAAAGAGGTGTTTGTAATTTTCAATCTTCGTTTGAATATCATAGGTTTCATCTAATAAGGGTTCTTATTTCACACTTAAATGCATGATAATGTATTTATAAACTATTTAAAAAAAATCCCCTTAATCTATGTTTAATTTACTACCCACATTACGGTATTTAAAAAGAAAAACATCAGAATTAAGGAGTTAAGTTAATCACTAATGTTGACAACAATCAATTCTATGTTGCTTACATAAATGAAGGTACTTCTAAAAATTAGATTAACATCGTCTACAAAGTACTAAAACAGTTTTTACATCGGAAAAAAAATTTGTTTCCGCACGATTTCCTCAGATGATCTGTGCACTGAGCTTATCGGTTTCCTGACTTTTTACTCGACAGTCAGCCTTCGTTGTAGTGTAACAAATTATATTTATATTGATAATAATTTAACAACATCAATCGGAAGTGGATCGGCAACGTTGCAACTATGGCGACCATCTGTGAAACTATACAAGGCAAGTTTTATGAATACTGTTTTAAAATAAATCTATAAATTATTACAAAGTGGTAACAAATAATCTTAGATTTAAAACAGACTAAGAAAACTAATTGATTTTACAGTTATTGTTTATAGTTACCTGTTTGCATAAAAATTATGTTCTTTACGTAATTTCGTTCTATGAGTACTACAATTTAATAACGCCTATAACATTTATGAAGCAATTTCCAGTTGAAATAAAATATTTATTATAAAATCTTATTAGCCTTGTCTTTATGTTGATTTTACGTACTTGCTAAATATATGATTCCGAATATTAAGTTACATTCCAATCTAAACAAAGGAAGAGGAAGACCGAAGAAAGTATGGATGGATTGTGTGAAAGAGGTTATGCTTAAGAAAGGAGTGGATTCAGATATGGCTGATAGAGATGTATGGAAGAGCAGCACATACTGTGCCGACCCTCCGTAAGGGATAAGGGCAAGTTGATAATGATGATGATTCCAATCTGTAGTTACTTTTTTTAAGATTCTTTCTTTATTAATTATTAACATTTATTTCCAGAAACCGTAACACAACACATTTGCAAACCAAACTGTGATTGCACGAAAGAGATATGCCCACCGGACTGTTCCTGCAAAATAGAAAGTTCTAGAGCCAGAATTTTCCGCCTCGCACTTAATATCTTGGGAGTTTTCGTCGCCATATTTGCTACCTACATGATAATTAACTCTGATTCCAAATTATATTTAATCTTCTGGGTTATATATTCTGTTTTAAGACGAATGATGTTAAAAACAAAAGACACTCATGGAAATGTTACTAAAAAGTTTATATAGTTATTGTTAATATTGCCACAAACCACAGCGTAGCATTTTAGTATTTCACTTCTTACTAATATTTTAACTGCGAAAGTGTAGATGGATGTTTGTTAGATTTTGTAGCCTAAACTGCTTAATAGATCTCGCATAGATGTAGATGATAGTCTGGAAGAGAACATAAGCTACTTACTTTTGTTTATTTTACCCACGCTGACGGAGTCAGGGGCGATAGCTAGGCTTACAAATGTCTTTTGTAATTTAAGGGTTCACAACAGCGTATTCTAGATGTCACTTTCTGTGTTCGTACCTGATTCATGATGGAAGTTTTTTATTATTATAGACTGGAATAGAACTAAATTAACTCCCACCTCACCACCTTTTTAACCGACTTCAAAAGAAGGGTTCTCAATTTGTCTGTATTTTTGTAATACATAAGTAACTACTATGAACTGGTACTTTTTCACTATTTATTAGTTATTTTAATGTATTTTAGTTGTAAATATTTTTATTACTTTACTAATTTTGTTTGTTTATCACAAGTAACTTATTTTTTTCTATTGTCTTTACTCTTGACTGATATTTAATCTATTTATTATTTATTAATTAATAATTTAATGTACAAGTTATTTACTGAATTAAAATATTCCTAACCTGAAATAAAATATTCATATGACATGTATGTTTTACATTCCGTCACTTTCTAAGTTCTTTTACTTATTACTAAGTATGGTGACCAACGTTATACACTATCAGCCTTATAAAAAAACGCGGTAAAAAGTTAAACTTAGGAATAAAGCGAGTATAAGCAAATATAAGAACTAATTTTATTTATACAAAGTTTATTCTTAAGTTTAACTTTACCACGCGTTTATTTGTAAGGCTATCTATACCGTTACCGATTATTATAGTTTTCATATATCTTAGTTGCTCTAACTTCACACAATACGCAGAACAAAATGTTTGATATTGCGGGGTGTATCGAACCAGTATAACTGAGTATTCCAAATACCATGCCATCCGATCATAAGATAGCAATGAGATTACGAATGAGATCTTGTATTTTTTTACCATAAAATTGCTCTAAGCCGAGTGAAGTTCCGCTCCGATGAGTTCCAAGGTCACTAAAGTTCCTTGCTCATTGTCCGCGATGTTGCCATTAAAAACAAACAGACGAATTGAAAACCTCTTGAAAGTAGATATGAAAACGCAAAACAGAGAAGTTCTGAGTTCTAAGAAGTGCGCTATAGTTCAATATTTATTTAATAGAACATTTCTTCAGTTTACCTACTGGACAATTATTTTTTAAAAATATTATTATAAAAATTATAAATATTTTGTAAATTAATTGAATTTCGAATTAATAACAAGTAACGTATGTATTCCAATATTTGTTTATTATATTGTCTATAACATAAATAAGTCTACATAAAATATAGACTGTCATTTCAAACTAATCAACTTCGCTCGTTCAAATCATAATCAACTCCGCTCGTAAATGCTGCAAAAAATATCATGGTAACAATCATTGACTGAATTAAGTAGAGGTCTTTGTTAAAAGAAAAAAGTTGTTATTCAGGTATGTTACTTAAAGAAAAAAATATTTTGTTTGTTGTGTCAGTGAAATGTACTATTAATACCTATGTGTTAATAAATATGAATTTATTTACACGTGTACATAGTAACATATTTATGTAAAAACGTAAAAAAATAAGAAATCCGTACCGTGCAGTACAGCGCAACACTAGATCATTTCCATACACTTCCCATCCCTATGACATCTGTCAATGTCAATCAGAATAATTAAGGGCGCGCCATTCTGGCGGGAATCGGTAGACTGAATATCGAAATTTAATTTCGTTATTACCAATTATATTATTGTCTAAAATTAGGTATGCTTAAAAAACTTTAATTATCAGTCATTTTTCAACGGATCACTACCATCAATAGGTCTTCGACATTTTCATATTTTCTCTTGTGATTAATTATTATTCTGCAAGTTTTATTGTTAAAATATTTCAATTTTGTTTCGATCATGCATCTTTTTTCATTGTGTCTAATTATGGTTTAGGTGTAATTTCAAAAAGATAAATACATTCAATCAATAAATGTACAGTTTTGTATATTAAATACATTCGTAACAATAATCAATATCCCATGTACAACAGCATAACATTTATATATTATTTTATAGAACCGGTTGCAGAATTACACAACAGGTCGACGACTTAGATAATCTGTCATAGAGATGATTGCGTTGCGCAGAGACGAGATAAAAAAGTATTACGTGTCATTTGCACATGAGAAAATAAACTTTGAAGTTACCTATAAATCGTTATATCGATAAATACAATAACTATATCTGACTAATATTATAAATGCGAAAGTTTAGATGGGTGGCTGTGTGATAGAGTTTGTAATATAAACGTCTGAACGGATCTCGATTAAATTTGGTATAGACGTAAAAGATAGTCTGGAAGAACACATATGTACATAGGCTACTCACTTTTGTTTTTCTTAATTCCAAGCGGACGGAATCGCGGGCGAAAGCTAGTTTATAATAGAATTATTTGGTCACTCAGAGCGATGTTAAGTGTAGATTTAGTATGAAAGATCCACACGAAGAGACTACTTTTTTAGTGTTAGAATTTCAAAACAATCAAAAACGATTTTGTTAGTTACTCAGAGAAACTTGTCTTGTAGTTTACATTTCTCATACTAAAACTACACTAAGAGGCTCCCTAAGTGACCATTAAACGGGTCGTCAGTTACCTTGTTAAGGTGAGAAAAAAAATTACGAACTAGTTATTGTTAGGAATGGGTTCCATTGATAGCGTCGATTGACCGCTCTGCCAAACCGGTCGGAGAGCCGCTGGAGTTTTTGTCTTCGATCATTTTATTGTTGGGAACCAAAGTTACTTATGTATATCTAATTTAGTTTAGGAGCTAACCTTTAATATTTCCATTGATTTTGTTACAAAATTCTCAACCATAATTTTGCACTCTGTGTAACTGACCTGCGCAATATCTTCCTATACTGTGCGTTGTCGCGTAATAAAAAAAAATTATAGTTAGATGCTTTCTCGATTGAATATAAACCAAAATTATGTCTCACTACCGCACCTAGAGTCGTTAAGTGGTCCTTAATGACCACCAGACCCTTAGTTAATCAATTAATTTTCTTATAAATAAGACTTGGGACTTTCTCTTCCTTCCGATTTTTTTAACAAAGTCGTAGACACTTTTTGGAATAAAAAAATTATAAGTACATTTACATACTTAGATATATCTAAGTACAGCTTACATATATCATTTCGTAACATAGAGGTAGGTTGGAATCACGAATAAAATCGATACGAGCTCTTAGTCTACGTGAGCGAAGGAGCCCGAATGATCCCCCCTCGGCGCGGCTCAGTTATTGACCCGCGCGGCGGCGGCTAGAGGAGACATCGCGCCGGCGCGGACAAACCTGCCTCCGACATCCTCTCTAGACTAGACTCAGCCTTGCCTGGGCCCCGCCGCACCATGCCTGCGCCCTGCGACTCGTGCAAAGGTAATCATTATCAATATTTAATTTAATTAACAAATGTTTATTGATTTCATTTTTGATTTTCGAACGTTATTCGTTTTGTTTTTAATTTGCCGGTTTAGATACGTGGCGATGACGCAGTTGTTTTCGTTTGATTGAAAGATAATATCTATTTGTATTATTTTATTAAATACTAGTAATAATAGATACTAACTAATAATAGATTTAAGTATAAATAAATGTTTTATTTATTGGCATAATCAGGTGAGAGCCTTTGCTTGTTGCGCAATAGAGGAAGTTACATTTATTATCTTTTTTTGCAGGGACGTGCGGCGGTGGCACCGCGGCTTGCGGCGCGGGCTGCACTTGCGGTCCAAGCTGCACGTGCGGTGATGGCAAGCCTTCTGGTAATTTCCACGTTCCATTTTCCTAATATTTCATTTCAAGAATTAATGAACGCAACTCCTAATAAAAATAACCTTTAAATCATTACCAAATATTCCTCTTTTTTATATTCTTATCTGTTACAAATTTTTTTACATTAACTTATCTGTTACGCTGGCGCAATTTATAATTTTTTTTTCAGGTGGCAAGCCTTGCTGCCAGGGCGGTGGCAAAAAGTAATTTAAAATTAGAATCTATATAGATATTACGTCTTTTCTTAGTATTACAATACTTATAATCATAATATGAAGATCTTCATATTTTTATATTTAATCATCTTCTAAATATAAGTACACGTAGATGATATTTATTGAAAAACTCTATATTTTAAATGTCGTAGCGAAATGCTGTGTCATGAAATAAAATTTTAATTAAATTAGGAATGAAAAATGTAATAATAGCCTATATTACTCAATAATGTAGCTTCTAATGGCAGTTTTTTTAAATTTGAGTTTGGTAAATACAAAAATACAAATCTTTCCTCATACGAATAGATTAGAAAATAAATAGAAGATTAAGGTTTAATGTATTTGCTTAGCGTTAAGAAACATATAATAATTCATTTTATCGCATTCAGTGTTGAGATTAAGGCATTGGTAAATCTTTAGTACTAATAATACTCATTATATTTAAGTAATTGTATGAAAGCACACACGTATGTGTAGCGTTAGAGGTTAAATAAATGTAGCCATACATGTTTTCTTTTCGTTATGAAGTTACGCGAATACACATTGAATAAAATTACTTTGATTGGGTGTCTTGTTTTATTTTTCGGCTTCGTCCCCGTGGAGTTAAAAAAATAGCCTGTGTTTTACCAGTTTTTTCTACACCTATTATTAAACTCTAACAAACATTCATCCATCTAAACTTTGCGTTTATAATATTTAAGTCCAGTCCCACCAAAATGTAAATTGTCTGATAATCGAACGTGTAAAATATGTGATGGAAATATTGGATTTTGTTACTTTATCTGACAGTGGCATCATTTTTAAACTATTTGAAAAAAAAATATAGGGTATAAAAATAAAACGAATAGTTACAAAAAATCTTTATTTATGCGACATCAAGTTGGTATAAGTTTTATTTTATCTATGGAAGCGACAAATGGGACAGATAACATACCCTAAGTATAGGAATATTAGTTCTTGTCTTAAGTTTTAATATAAAAAAATCGTCATATTAAAACGAAATACTAACAAAAAAAAATTTAAGCTTAATAACAAAATTAAGTGTATCAGTCAAACATTAACATGCATATTCTATACTGTAAAAATGTTACCAGAATAGAATTTGTATTTTAATGTTGCCATAAAACTAAGAAAAAAACCCGTTTCATTTTACAAATGATACAAGGCGTGAAACGAAATCTTATAGATAAAATTAAATTTCACAATTTAAAAAAAAATAAACTTAAATTTATCCACGAGGATTTTTTAATAACTATAATATAAAAAAATCTAAACTATAGTAATGTAAAGTAAAAAAAATTGCAATTCAATTGTAATTTGAAGTAAGAAAATTAATGTTATATAGAAATCTAATGCCAAGCACACACATTTTTTTAAATTTAATTTCTTTCTCTTTATTAACCACACTCAGAGTCGTTTAGTAATCACTAAAAATCCCTTAGTATAAATTTCGTGAGAACTTAAATATATTTACCTTCTAAAAGATTTAAGTCAACATTAAAAGTCTCTGAGAGTGATTAATCTTCTCTTAAACCACTGATTAACAATTCATATTTTATAGCTGGCATAACGAAAAAAAAATCCATATTAATGACTAAATCTATCATATACATTCAGAAATATTCGATTTTTAAACACTGACACACTCAAATTGGTCATTTAAGCTGTCCCTTAGTGTAGATTTGTCAATAAAACTAAACTAAGGGCCCTAAAATAAATGTTAATGACCAATGTCTGAGTGTGACAATAAAAGTTATACACTACTAATCTAGAAAGATAACATATCAAAATATAATAACTATGGAATAAACTCTTTTATATAATAATATTAATGAATACATACTCTTCAATATCAACAGGCATACATTATTAAAAAAATATAATATTTCAATATCAAAAAATATAAACAAAATGCACTTTTTAAATCAACTACTAACATGGCAACACAAAATCTTAAATAACTCATAAATCTTAATTTAGCAACGCATATAAATTTTACATTCACTGTTTATAGTTTCTACTATTGAAAATTGTATAAGGATATCGCTATCCTTGTTCTGTTCAATACGAGTGAAAGAGACAACGATATACTTTTGAATAATTTTCCCAGAAGAAATCCACACATGTAAAAAAAACGCAACTTTTTCAAATAAAATTGAGCTTTAAACAATTGAAATAAGGTTCAATTTTAATTTGCATTTTCTTATAAAGATCAAATATAAGACATTTTAAGTAAAATTAAACCTTGTCACAATACAATAAAGTTCAATTTTTAAAGATTTTGAATAGTCTTTAACAGAAGAAATCCACGTTTTTACAATCACTGAGAAAACTTGTACAAATAAAATTGAGCTTTATACGATTGAAATATGGTTCAATTTTAATTTGCATTTTCTTATAAAGATCAAACATAAGACGTTTGAAGCAAAATTGAACCTTGTTACAATACTTTAGAGTTCAATTTTATTTGCAATATATTGCTCTGCTCTACGCTCTGCTCTAAATGACCTTTATGTCCTTTTCACAGGTTATAGAAAAAGTAACAGAATTTTAATTCTGTTACTTTTATTAAGTTAGTGTTTATGTTACACTGGTATAGAAATAAAAAAAGAACTAAGATTATAATTATATGAAGTTTATACACATACAATGATGTTAAATAATCATTAGAAATAATTGATTTTAACAAAACAATTTCATAGACATTATTTTTTGATCCTGATCCAAGAATTAATTCAATATTATTTCACTGGCGACGCTTTATTTTTGATTTGTGAACTATGACGTCATTAGTCAACGTAGACTTACAAAATTATGTTACAAGTAAAACAATTATAGTTCACTACCTCCTATTCATTATCCAAAATATCCATCCATCCATCCTGTGTGTCACAAGACCTTACTGTAGCTATAATATTTCCCTTTTCTATGTCCTCTCTCCCACTGTGATAGACATTTGACGTAATGACGTGTTTTGACAGTTGACAGTTTGTTTTGGCAGTTGTCAATTGTCTATGTTACAGGTTCTTCCTCGGAGCCGTCGTCGGAGTCAACAACTGGAGCGCCGTTCCTCATCTGTATTACTGACTTCTTCCTATGTCTTCGTTCACTTGATTCTCTATCCATGTTCCTGTGGAATAATATTTATTTCTTTATTTTTTTTTATTTTTATACATACTTAAATTTATTTATCTACAGCAATGTTATAAAGAGGAAATATATGTTTTTTTTGTATATATTTGATTCACGTAAAAACTACTGGTCCGATTTTAAAAAATCTTTTAGAAAGATATTTTATCTGTGAGTAACATAGGCTATTTTGTCACGTGGACGAAGTCGCGAACAACAGCTAGCTACAAATATAAATACAAATTAATAATTAGCTATTCGTCGCGACTTGGAAAAAATAGCCAATGTTACTTGTGACAACATAGCTTTTTAATGGTGAAGTAAATCGACCCAGTAGTGATTGAGTTATTTCAATACATACAAAAATATAAATCTTCCCTCTTTATTACATTAGTACAAAGAACACGAGGTGGCACTAAACTTGACAACTGACATAGTATCGTTCAGAGAAGTTACTAGTGAACATTTTTTTATATAGTTTTTAAACGTCATTTTTTAATTTTTTTTTACTGTTCGTAATATAGTTTTGTAACCTGGCAGCGATGAGAGGTTGCAGCGCAGTCTTGAGGCTGGAGAAGAGCTGAGGATGTTCCCGCTCGTGCGCAGCCAGCAGCGCTCGCGCAGCGCTGAGTGGCGCTCGCTGCGAGCACGAACAACTTTCCTCAGGGGATTTGCTATAAGGAATTATTAAATATTATTAAAAACAGTAAAATATACGCAATTATACTTCTCTGTGCCACCAAATTGTAAATTGTCAAATAACAATCGTATTTTGTTACTGTATATGACATTGACGTCATTTTTAAGCTATCTGAGCCTCTATCAGCCAGTTGTGGGACAGCCCCTTAAGATACTTGCGAAAGTTTAGATGGATTGATGAATGTTTTTTATTGTTTGCTGCCTAAACGGCTGAACGGATCTCATTGAAATTTGACATAGATGTAGATTATAGTCTGGATAAACACATAGACTATTCACATTTTTCTTTTAAATTGATAACATACCTGTTATTATCAGTATCGTGTGCTGCAGGTGCGGTGAAGTCTGGCAAGGCGCGCGCGCACGCGAACGCCTCCAGCGCGCGCGCACGCACGTAGATAAACGGACGAATTATACGTAGATCGTGATCTCTACACAAATATTATTATATAAATACAATAATACTTTTATAATTAGACTAGCTGTTCCAGTGCGGCTTCATCCGCATGGAATGTCAAAATTCAAATGCACAAATGACAATTGCTTCCTTGATGTTGGCAGCAACTTTGGTCTCATTCCCACATTAGGGTTTTTATCCAGAATATTAACCCCTAAGTTTAATGGCATGATAACATATAGCCTAAAGCGTGACGTAATTGTAGGGTATTTTTTATCAAAAAAAGAATTATTCAAAAATGTGTTGTAATTGCTGAAATATTAGGAAACAAAGAAGTGTGTGTTTACGCTTTATTATTATAGTATAGATATAATCGGAAAAATAGAAAAAAAAAAATTTCGAGACACTAATATTTTAACATTAACAAATTTACTTTACGATTTAAAGAACATAACCTAAAAAATAAAAAATCTTAATATAAATGTGAAAGTTTAGATGGATGGATGTTACTATTTATCTTCGAACGGTTTAACGGATCTTAATGTAAGGTACACATTTAAAACATAGTATGGAAGAACACATAGACTACTTATTTTTTTTAATTCAGTGACAGTCCAAAGATAGTCTATACTAATACAATAAACCGTAAACACACACTTCTTTGTTGCCTATGATGTCAGCAATCATAGCATATTTTCCAATAACTCTTTATTTAATAAAAAGCCATACACTTGTCACACTTTAGGCTGTGTATTTTCACGCCGTTGAACTTAAGGATAAATATTTTGGACAAAAACCCTAATGTGGGAAAGAGACCATAAGTTGCTGCCAACATCAAGGAACCAAAGTTGCCATGATTTGACATCACGTCGTGTCATTTTGACATTTGCAATTGATAATTTGACAAATGTGAACAATAAATTGATTTTTTTTTATAATTTTATGCGAATAAAGTCACATGGGAACAGCTAGTGTTTCATAAAAATGGAACATTTCGAAATAGTGCGTCAGATTTTTATTTAGGAAGACTGAAATTTGCAAATAAAAATCCTATAGAGATGACTTCTGAGTGAAAAAATTATACAATCTAATAAAATCTATCTATAGAGAGACAGGGACTGTCAATGTAGGTGAAAAAAATTACCCTTAATAATAGTATTTCTTTTAGCTAGCAATTTATATCCTGCATCTTCAGTTTGTTCACCTCCACCTTATCTATAACTTAGTTTATTTTAAAACGCCCTTGTTGAAATGCAAGTTTATTATGAAAGTTGGTCCTTGGAGCCGACTGACCTGAGTGTATAGTGCGCTTTGGTGGTGGCGAGCCTGGCGGCGTGCAGCGCGGAGGCGAGGAAGGCGGCGGCGGCGCTGTCCAGGCAGTGCGCCAGCGCCGCCACGCCGTAGCCGTGCGCCGCCGCCGCCACGTACGCGCGCCGCCGCACTGCGCCCGACGCCCACCGGTGCAGCTCAGATTTACTGCTACCTGCTACTTTCATCATTTGTTACACCTTTTTTTATATATCGAAACGCTTGTAAAACATTTCAATACTAATTAAAATGAACTAAACTCGTAGTCACGTGTTAACGACTTTTAACTACATCAGAATCTTAATATTTGAACAAAATTGTCAATTTTATTGCTTTTTGTATTAAACTCTATATTGATAACTACACTATATAAAGAGATTTTTATGATAAACTGGCAAACGAGTAACCTAATTACAGAGGAAGTAAAGCGACAGCTGCCCAAACATCTGTAATAGATGCGTTGCCTACTTTTAATAGATGGAGAAGAAAATGCACATAAAGCGGATATTTCCCCTTCCTACGCGTCTCTTCAACTATCAAGTTTCCCTTCTCATTCTTTCTTATAAGAAAAATGGGGAAAGAAGTACGCAGAATTACTTTCAATTTACGTATGGTCGTTATTTGTACTAGTAGCCCTACAGTGGGAATATGTTAAAGCCTATCATTAAAAGTGGTATCAAAAATATGTAAAATTAATAAACTCACTAGACTCTTCATCATCCAGTTTATCTTCATATATGAACTTGACTCCTAAAGTCCTGCAGTACGCCATTAAATGTAGAGGGTCCACTTCCGACTGCGGCTCGTGTACGAACAGTGCTCCTGGAATACATACAGTTAGACATTAATATAATTGTAACAACGTAAACTTTAATACTCAAATTCCTGGCAGAATGGCGCGCTCTAATACGTCAGAATGACATTGACAGCTATCATAGGGAAGGGACATATGCCAATGATCTAGTGTTGTGCTAATCCAGCGCAGTACTGATTATTCTTAACAATACATACGTAACAGTGGAGTGAGTAAAGTAAGAAATGTTGACAATAAAAGAAGTGAAACATTTAGTTAAGACTATAGAGTAAACTGTTGTGTTTGTTAAAGATTGGAGGCGGGGTGAATGGAAAACGATTGATTGCGAAGTGAAAAAATATATTTGTTTTTACATATTTATAAATTGTCATATATTAAAAAAAGAACAAGTCAAATATAAAAATATAAAATGCGTTCGATGTCTTAAGTTGTAAACGAGGTTATAAGTTAAAACCTCATTTCTTAACAGTGTTAATGGTTTCCTGTATTATTCGATTTTTAATGAATGAGTCCTCAATCACACAAGGTTATCAGAGACAATAAATTGTCAATTGTTGTTTAGTGGATTTAATGTATCGTGGTTGCGAAATATCAAGGAGTTGATGAATATAGCCAGCATAGAACATCTATTTCTTGGCACAAGATCGGCAAAAGTTCGTTCAGCTGACCAATAACCATTAAGAGAGAGAGAGAGAGTGAGAGAAAGCGAGGGAGAGAGAGTGGATTTAACTCACCTATACTAAAGTGTTGTCCCTTAGCGCGGGCGTAGTACTGGTAATGATGCATAGCGTGAAGTAATGCGACAGAATCCCGACGTCCGGAGAGACAAACCAGCACCTTGTCACCCTCCCGTACCATCTTGTATTCTTGAATAGCCTGAAAAAAAGCCTCTTCTAGTCATCATCCATATCAACCATACAATCCACGGATACGCAAGAATGGGACATATTTTACTCGCTTATTTCCAAAGACATTCAAATATTTAGAAGAGACATAGCCCACATTTTACTTGAAATATTGTTCTTACCACTATCTGTTAACGAATCCTCAAAACTACAAATCAATAAATAATAGGGCGATTAATATTTTTGGTTATAAGTAACAACAAACCTTTCCTATATGTAGGTGCTGTGTGTACGGCAAACATACGCACTGTTATTAAAATGTTTATAACAATAGATGGGGCTTATTATACATTTGTAAAATGTTTTATTGCATTGGAAATATAAAGAAGAAGTGCGAATGAAA